CCAGCCCTCTCCAAAGGATTCTCAGAAAGCATGACTGCAGGAGGAAGGAGAATCCAGAAGAAGACCAATACATCCCAGCTCTGAGCACAGTTCCGCACCTAAGCTGAGTGTTTCATAGACGTTTAGTGAATGAATGTAAAAATTCAGATTTCACAGAACCACCTATCAAAAATTTTAGTATTTAGCTGACAGTAAATTAATGACATATTGACATAGATTATAACAAAGCCATTTTGTTTAGCAAAGTCATTTCACTCCAAAAAGGAGCTTGTGCTTTGACCCAGCAATTCCAACTTAATGTCTGCCCAAAAAAAAAAAACCCTACATAGAGCACAGGATACTCTATGTGAATGGTCCTGACAACATCATTTTGTCGTGGAAATGGCCGAATCGGTGGAGGGTGGCTTATTCTGTGGAGTACTATACAGTACTATACAGGGAAAGAACTAGATCATTTATAATAGCATGAAATTATCTCAACGACCTTTGTTGAGTGAAACTGTTGCTGAAAGATGGTGCCACTTCAGTTCAAAACACACACACATGGGCACATTCCAATACTAGGTTGCTTCCACAAATATATATATGCATGTAAATAGGGGAAAGGCCTGGAAAGTTAAATATATATCTAACCTTTATTTATGTAGATAAAGATATACATACAGATATGGTTATCTGTATGAAAGACAGAACCAACTTTTAGTGAACAAAAAACTCAAAAGCATTATGCTAGGTAAAAGAAACAAACAAAAAAAATCACTCCATAATGTGTTATTTTATGTATTTGAAATTTTAGAAAGAACAAACTATTGTGACAGAAAGAAAGTGACCGTGGTTTCCAGAGGCTATGGGTGGAGCAGGGAAATTGTTAAAGGGCCAGAAGAACTTTTCAGGGTGGTGGAGATGCTTCATACTGTAGTAGAGATGACACTGGCACATATATCTTTCTCAGAACTATTGAATTGCACACTTACAACCAGTGAATTTTATAGTAAGAAAATTATAATAGTAAGGAAAGCATATAATGAAGGCTACTGATAGGGCAACATGGGATCTCCTAGTGACATTTTAATTTTTAAAAAAGAGCATACCATTTGTTCATATTATTTTTATGGCATTATTTATACTATCTTATATTCTTTTTCCCTTTACATTGAAAATTACTGTACATTCTCTTTTTTCTTTCTCATTCTTAGAAAAATGTGCTTTGGATGTGTTTTCGTCTATCTGAACTGCTTCTAGAAAGAAACTGAATAATGTGTGAGGGAGAAATATGTGTCCCACCCAAGGGAAGCCTGAAAGGGACAATCTGGAGAGAGAGGCCCCGGAGCTGGGCTCGGGATGCTCTTCTGTTGCTCACGCTCAGCCTCTAACCTCAGCCTCTCCCCTCTGAGGGCCTCTTGTCTCATCTGAGTACTGGAATTTTGGAACCCAGGGAATCTCTTAGTGCTCTCCTCGTCAGCTGGTAGCATTGCTCCCTTGAAGCCCAGTCCACTAGCAAAAAAAAAAAAAAAAATTGAAAATGAGCCTAAAAAGAAAAAGTAACAGTGTTAGAAATGACTCCATCCCTTCACAGTATAGCCAAAGATAAGACTGTGGCCTTCAAATTCCACATTTTGTTATTTCACTCCATTTTTCTCATCCCCTTCAGCAAAACCTCTTCTTCCCTTAGGAGGCTGTCAGGCTGAAGGAAACCCTGGAGAAGCCAGGCCTGCCGCGAATGACCTTAACTTTGGCAAAAGCAAATTCATATGTCCTGTTTTTCAAACTTGTGATGAAAACGCAAATTAAGAAAGGATGGATTTAGTCCTTTGACATCTGTCCTTTTTTTCTCCAATGGTCTATTTAAATATTTCATTATGTACCATTAAATTAATTACGTGTATAATCAAGAAATAAAAAGCAGCATGGTTTTTAACTACAGGTGGATGGGGTTCTTCAGACAAACAGGATCCATAGAATGCATAAATACCTAAATATATGCATAGGAAGAGATGTATTTCTACAGATTGGCTCATGCATCTGTGGAGGCCGACAATCCCTAAGATCTGTACTTGGCAAACTGGAGATTCAGGAGAGTCAATGTCGTGGTTCCAATCTGAGTCCAAAAACCTGGGAGCCCTGGGAAAGCTGGTGGGCATGCTTGAGACCTAGGAAGGACCTACGTTTCATTTTGAGTCTGAAGACAGGAAATAAATGAGTGTCTCATCTTGAATGGAGCAGGACCAGTTCTCTTAACATGAGGGGGAAATCAGCTCTTGTTCTATTCAGGTCTTCAATTGATTAGATGAGGTCCATGCACACTCGAAAGGACAATCTGCTTCACTCGGTCTATCATGTCAAATGTTCTTTCTTCCAGAAACTACCCCACAGGCACACCCAGAGCAATGTTTGAGTGACTATCTGGGCACCCCATAGCCTATTCAAGTTGACCCATAAAATTAACCATCACAGTCACAGCAAATAAGAGTCAAATTCCATTCGCTGATGAGAAACTTAAAAGAGACCAGCACTTTAAAGGAATTAGAACCAAGTGTAAGCATTATTTATCTAGAAATTCTTTTCAGCTCAACTCCACATTCCTAAGAATGCATAGAATGCAAAGGAAAGGCCAGGCAATCGTCCACTGAAGTGGGCGCCTTCCACAGAGTCAATCTCTTAACGGATGGAGGCAGGGCATGGTGAAGAGTTGATAAATGAAGGCTTCTTAATTTGCAAACTAAATGTGAGGCCTTTTGGGGTACTTGTGCTATCTCTCCAAGTGCATGCTAATGATTGCTATTAGTAGTTCTTGTCCTTTGAGTTGTCTTTCCTGAAAGAAGAGATCAATTGCTTTCTCACTCAAATCCCCAGCTTTCCATCTCAGTGATAGCGGGTCATGCTCTGTGCACAGCCTGAGCTAGGGTGACCAGCCATCTTTGTTTTCCTGGGACTGTATAAGGTGTAACTCAGCAGGTCCCACATCCCAGGAAACTCCTTGGTCTGGGCCAACCAGAATGGTGGCCTCCCCGATGTCTCTCTCTCTCTGCTTTGTGCCACTCTCCGCCTGCCCCCTGGCCATCCGTTGTGTTTTAGTCAGCTTTTTCACTGCTGTGACCAAAAGACCCGACAAGAGCAATTTTAGAGGAAAAGTTTATTTGGAGGCTCATAGTTTCAGAAGTCTCCATCTATCAACAGCTGGCTCCGTTGGTTGGGGCTGAAGGTGAAGTAGCACATCATGGCAATGATGTGTGTGGTGAAGGAAAGCAGCTCAGGGCATCACATCAGGAAGGAGAGAGAGAGAGAGAGAGAGAGAGAGAGAGAGAGAGAACTCCACTCAACAAGGACCAAACATATACTCCAAGGCCCCACCTCCTCCAATCATACTCTACCTACCTATAGCTACCATCCAGCTAATTCCTATCAGGGGATTAATACACTGATTAGGTTAAGGCTCTCATAACCCAATCATTTCACCTGTAGGCTTTCTTGCATTAATTATCTATCACATGAGCTTTGCGGGGACACCTCATATCTAAACCATGACACACTGAGTTCTCTAATGCACAAGCTCCCTCCCACCCCAGGGCCTTTGCCCTGACTGTTCCTTCTTCATGCAATGGTTTCTCCTCTGCTTTCACCCTTCACCTAGCTATGTCCTATTTCTCTCTCCTACCTCTGTTTAATTACCATTTCTGCAGAACAATCTCTCCTTCCTCTAGACTAGGCTTGATTTAATCCCTTATGTCTTTATAATAGCACAATAATAACTGATCAATTTGTTGGGAATGATCGATGTTTGGAACAGAGCCTGGTTCATAGGCTAAATAATCATTTGAAGAAACACTGAATGAATAACCACATAACAATAACTACCATTTACTAAAAGCCCGGTGTATGTCTGTTTCATGAATTATAAAAGTATTTACTCATTTAATCCTCATAACAGCCTCATGAAGTACAAAACACTATTTTCATCTATTATAACTGAAAAGACAGAGGCAAAGAGAATACTTTTAAAAAATAGACATAGAGTAAAGCTTCCTAATCAGTCCATCTGGGATGAGACCCTCTGAAATTGGCCTTTCTAACATTGGGCTTTAGCCAACTGAGATAACAGACCTCTATCCTCCTAGATATTTTATCTCCTCTAACAAACTGAAGCACAAGAAAAATATTCATCCTTCATAAACAAGCTGTTGTCCACCATAATTGCACACTGGAAATTTCTGGTAAAAAAAAATAATAATAAAGGCACTGATCCAGAAAGTCATCTGAAAGGCAGGAAATATGATCTGAGAATGTTGTTCATGGGTCCACCTGAGCCCCAGGCTCTGGAAGGTACTTTGACCAAGAGGTGAGACCATTCCAAAGGAAAAGAGATAGATAGCTTAGCTCTCTGCTGGAAACCAGACATGGGGTCAGTCATGACTATAGTGCTCCAAAAGGATGCACCTGCCCTCTACCTGTAGGTATCAAAGATCATTCTCCTGCTAAGAGAAAACCATCGGATCATTCTGACTAGCCTAATTTAGACCAGGTTTGTACTTCGATGAACACACGACATTAGGGGAAGTGCAAGAAATAACAGAGAGAAGTCGAGTTGAAGAACTCAGGGGATGTCAGAGGAAAACAAGACTCATAAAAATGCTAGATGGAAGGCACTGCTAAGGAAATTCTATACTTGATTCAAGACGGAGGTTAACTGTAAACTACGACCAGCGGGACCTTGTAATAGCGAGACGATGCTTCTCTCCTACTGTATCTTCCAAGCTTTGCAGCCTGGGCCCGTGGCTGTGGATGCCTGGAACTCTGACCTATGCCACATCCTTCCATCAGAAACTGATGTGCAGACAGTTTCTCCTTGAGGAGCAAGTAGGTCATTAGGCCTCTCATTACAGTAATTAGCGTAAAATTGAGAAAATCATCAAGATAATTCAAAGATTTCTTTAAGCAATTTTGGCTACTAGACAGAAACAGAAATTGTTTTGGATAGAATTTCTGAGTACTTACCTAATTTCTTCATCGCCACATGACACAATATAGGTACTTGGAAGATCAGCTTCAAATGATAAAATCTGGGGCCTTTTTCTTTCTTCTTCCCATAAATTTTGTACATTACATTTTCTTATTAATAATTTTTGTCACTTTTTTGTGTGCCACACCCTGATGGAATAACAGTTATCTCAAAAACTATCTCCAAATTCTCAAAACTAGATTAATTTTCTTCCATTTCAGGCATTCTCTCTCTTCCCCCCCCCCACCCCAATCTATTTACATTTTAGTGGAGGGTGCCTATCATTTTGGCAGGGAGTAGCAGAGAACCAAATGGACAGTTTCAGAGTGTGATCAACAAGATTGGCAGTCTTAATGTCAAGGATTCATTATGGTTGATTCACAGACTTAAACTAATTGAAAGCCGGCTCTTTGACATGTTATTCTTTCCACAGCAAGTTCTGCCCCTGTCTCACTTATTCTTCCAACAAGTATTTATTGAAATATTTAGAAGATTCTACTTGTAAGACCGCTGCTTGGCACTTTAGAGTGGGTAGGAGGTAAGGAGATGGAGGACAACATTAAATGAATCACAGAGTCTGACACTTAGAAAAGTAGACCCTAATAGGAGATAGAAATCCAATACCTAAATATGATGCAAAAGCAACGAGAGAGAGAGAGAGAGAGAGAGAGAGAGAGAGAGAGAGAGAGAGAGAGACGAAAGAGAGAGAGCACGTTAGCATTTCTGGAATTTCTTACAAGATAAAGGCTTGATTGAACCAAGCCTTCAACTGCAGGTGGAACTTTGGTAAGCAGAGTTGGGAAGAGAAAGAAATTAGTTCTGCAAAGGAAACCCAAGATGAACAAAAGCTCACATGAGGGAAAGGATGTGCCTTACACAATATTACAGAAAATTCCAACTCAAAGTCTCTTATGAACTGCCTATCACTTTGAAAACCACTGCTCTCTTAACACCCCCCAAGTGTTATCTTTTGTATTAGTTATGAAACTATCTATTTATTAATGCCATCTGGATGTCTAAAATGGAATCAGAAGGCTCTAGACAGACCTCAGTAGATATCTTCTGACTAGTGTTCCCCTGGGCTTTCCTTCCCAAAAGAAAGCCAAAGGCATTTAAGTTTCTTCAATCTCCTTCGTATCCTTTGAAAATGTAAATATTATGTCCGCTCCTTTCTGCAGTCAATTAATGGATCCTTCTTGCCAATGTCATAAATATAACTTTTCTCGGCTGATGCTTCTCTTATTGCATACATATGCTATTGATAATTACTTGTTTTTGAGTCCTTAACCACTTGTGCATGGAAAGACATCTGAAGTTTAAATGTTAGGACTATTACATTACTAAATGTCTTATTTTATAAGGGAATAGGCCATCACAAACTCTGTTTTATGCAGTAATATTGTGCTCACCAAAGGAATCCATTTACTATACTGAAATCTTAACACAATCAGGCGTTCTTATAAGAAAGTTAATACAACAGCCTCTGAGACTTCTCTGCTATCAATTTCCTGCAGCTTCTGTATGATGGCAGCTTAGGAAATTCTCTGGTATTATTTTCTGTGCTTATATAAAACAACGATGATTCAATTAAAGATGCTCAACCTCAAGAAGGAATTGGAGGGAGGTCCTATTCAGGTCTAGAGTAAATAACGATGGCAGTAGTCTACAGAACGATGCTGGGTGATGAAGGGCAGGCTGTCTGCCTTAGTAGAGCTCACTCATGAGTTTTCGGTTAGACATTTCCAAGGAAAGTGGAAAATACAGTTGGTTTCTCAATGTGAATATTGTTTTTCAAAAAGGAGCACTTGAGAGCCAGCAGTCATGGTGCATGCCTATAATCCCAGCTACTTGAGAGTCTGAGGCAAGAAGATCACAAGTTCAAGGCCAGCCTGGGCAACTTAGTGAGACCCTGTCTCAAAATTAAAAAAAAAAAAAAAAAAAAAAAAAGATGCAAAGGCCTGGGAATGTAGCTCCATGGTAGAGTGCTCCTGGGCTGGACCTCCAGGATTGCAAAAAAAAAGGAAAAAAAAAAAAAAGCAAGAGCACTTGAGACTTAAAGTTCAATGGGCTATTATGTAAACTGCGGGTGATGGCAATGTTTGAGAACACCTCCATAGCTTCCTCTGTGGGAGAGAGCCCGTGGAACCCTTGACCGGGCAGAAGGTAGCTGGGTTTCCACTTGCCATCCCCCTGGAGTGGATATTCCTATAGTCATGCACATCTGCTTGTTTTATGAAAGGTGTTGCAGTTACAGGTAAAAGAAATGGTCCATAAACAAATGACAATAGTAACTAGTTTCCATCCCATTCCAGGGTCCTGAGGCCTCACACATCAGTGAACCAATGTGCCCATTTCTTAAACCTGTAATGTCAGGGTGTTTTCAGATTCGTGTTGCCCACCAGGTTTTAAGTGGGAGACGTCTTGCCTATTTATTTGGCTTCTTGTTTTTAACAATAGCACTCAGCTTTATAAATAAGGAAAGGCAGCGGATGAAGCCACAGTAAATAAACTCGAATCTCTTTAATTTAGATTTATTGGGAGATCTAAATGAGTTTTTTTTTTTTGAAGTCTGAGTTATTAAATTTTGGAGGAATTATTTGCTACTAATTTATTGATTCTAGATGTAATAAATTATTGCCAAATAAAAGTCCTCTGACAATAAGTACATATTTGCATTATACATAATTTTCCTATTACTTGCCTAAATATAAGGATAGTGCCAGACAATTGCTACATTGTTATTCGTAAATAAGCTGAAGCCTGTGGTCAAACCAGTTGCCAGTGTTCATTTGTTTAGTAAATGCCTTTTACATTGATCAGGCAAGGCTGACTACCAGCCTGGCCCTAAGTTACTGATGTCAATTCAATGACAGTGACACAACTATCTTGTAGAAAATTTGGTTTGGCTCAGGAAGATGTTTCCATGAAGCACCTAACCACACAGGCTTGCTTGTTTTGCCCTCAATAAACAGCATCATAGGTTTTTAGAATGAGCACTAATAGAAATAAATTTCAAGCCACCTAGGTCAGTTTAAACTTTCTAATATCCATAGTGGAAAGAATGAAAAGAAACAGATGAAATAATTTTAATGATATATTCTATCTAACCTAACATGTCCAAAAATATTATAACTTTAATCTATAATCAATATAAAAATCATTTATCTATTGACATTCTTTTTTTGCTGTACTTAGGTTTTACAATCCAACTTGCCTTTATAACCTCCAGCACATCTTAGCTTGGAGCAGCTCTGAATCAGGGACTCAGTAGTCACTTGAATCTAGTGGCTACTGAATGGGACACCACAGCTCAAAACAGTTGCAGTATTTAATCACGGTTTTTCCTTGAAACTACATATATCTATTTCTAGCTTTTAACTTACACGCCTAGAATGACTTCCCAAAGAAACAATTAAAACAGTAAAATAAGAAGGAAGAAAGAAAGAAAGTAGCTTTGGCCCAAATTTCTTGACATGACTTTCAGGGAATTCCTGAGCTGACATCTGCCCCTTCCGAACCCTCATCTCATTGCCCTACCCACCCTCACCTCCACCTTCCCTTGACAATCTGGGCAGACAGAAATCCTTTTAGTTCTCTGAACATCCCATGCTCTCCTACCTTAGTTTCTGCCTCTGCTCTTTTCTCTGACTGAGCAACTCCTTCCTCCCCCTCTTGCTTTCTGTTAATTCCTCCTCCTGCATCAGATCTCAGCCTACAACTTCTGCCAGAACTGTCCGGGCACTGCGTGCTGAATCCAGCATGGGGGCTTGACCTTCTCCTTCAACATGCCATTGAGACGTTTGAAGGCTGCTTGTTCATGGCTTTTTACACTCGGGCTTCCCTTAGACTTTAAATGGTACCATAGCAAAAACCATACCTTATGTTTTGTGGTGTTTTTTTTTTTTCCTCCTGTGTGTGTGTTTTTAAGTCATTGCCTTCCAGATCTTAGCACATTTCTTGGCTCATTGAAAGTGCTTACTAAATTTTGTTCAATGAATAATGAATGAACTGATGGTGGAAAAATACACAAATATTGGAACTCAAGATCCTCATTTCCTCTCCTGTCCCAAATCTCTAATTTGGGGATTGAAAAGTTGATGATCTGGGGATTCCAGCACTTCCTAATCTATACCACTTACCTAAACTGCTTGATTTAAGTTCCATTCTGCACTTAAATAACTGTTTGATTCTGTAACCTCCTCCTATGCTGGTAAGTGATTAACTCATTCTATGGATTAACAAGAGGACATTGGAACTGAATGGATTATTAAACTGCTTGGAAAATCTTAGAAGGAAAGGGCTAAACTCACTTTGCTCCCTAGGCATATTTAAGAATGTAATGCAGAAAAATAACACATCAGAGTTGTTTTAATTTTTTTTGGCAGATTCCTCTATTTACTAGTCCTGTATCTATCTCACACCCACCACCATCGTTTATGTCTCTTCTCTCTTCATCGCCTCACCAAGTGTGTTGGCCCCCATATGCACCCCATGCTTCCCTGCTTCTGTGCCTCTGTTCTTTGTGTTTCCTCCCCCAGAGGATTTTTCTCAAGAACATCTGTCAAATCCTTCACTTCATTCAATGCAGACCAAAGACCACATCTTCTAAGAATTTTTTTCTAATTTCCCTCAATTAAAAGCTACTCCTTTCTTTTCCCAACTCTCTGTAGTACCCTCTGTTATTACAGAGGCCAGAATCACATTGCAATTCGTGTTGCATAATTGACTTGCTTTGCTTCTTCCCAGGCTGCAATCTAACTCCAAGGAGGGAGGCCCCGGATGTTTATCCCCATACCACCTAGCACAGTGTCTTACCCATGATAGGTATTCAACAAATACTTATTGAGAAAAGAGGTGCATCAAACTTTCTCTCAAATCCAGGAAACAGGGGCTGGGAGTACAGCTCAGTGGTAGAGTGCCTGCCTAGCATGCACAGGGCTCTGGGTTCAAATTCTAGCAATACACACACATACATATACACACACACACACTCACACACACTCACACACACACACAGGAGGTGGTGAATAGAATATGTTATTATAAAAGTCTTCAAAAAGATTCTTCCAGAAATAATCAGAGACTAATCCTAACCTAAACCTTGGGTCAATACAGTTTTAAAAGTATCTGACACCAATACCAATATGAGCAGATGGTAGAGTTTCCTAAAACTTTTTTTTTCTATACTTAAGTGCCTTAATGTGCTCCATAAAAAAGACATGGCTGTTTAAACTCTGCATCTGACAAGCTGCATGCTCTTGGATCAGATGCAAAGTCCTTTTGAAACTCAGTTTCCTTATTTGTCAAATTTAAGAAGTGGTCAGATTCAGTGGCTCACACCTGTAACCCCAGGGGCTGGGGAGGCTGATGCAGGAGGATCATGAGTTCAAGGCCATCCTCAGCAATTTAGCAAGTCCCTAAGCAATTCTGTGAGACCCTATGCCAAAATAAAAAATAAAAAATGGCTGGGAATGTGGTTTAGTGGTTAAATGCCCCTTGGTTCAAGCCCTAGTACCAAAAAAAAAAAAAAAAAAAGAAAAGAAAAATTAAAGAATTAGACTAATTTCTACATCACTTTCAGATTTAAAAATTCAATGATTTATTTATTATTGTCATTATTTTGGGAGCACTCCTTTTTGGCCTAAGTTAAAATAGGCGGGGTGGATATAATTCATTTTAATCAGTATAAATTCAATACCCAGGAAGGATTAAAGAATAAACATCCAAAGTCACACTAGTTTCAGGCATTCCCTGGAGCAAGTAGCAATCTCAAATGTGAAATATAGGTATAAACCTTATAGCATATATCTCAGCAAAGTTTTCATTTTAAAACATCTAAATATACGGTTAAGACAAATTATACTGTTATATGCATGCATGAATATGTAACAACGGATCCCACTATTATGTATAATTATAATGCACCAATAAAAAGAAAGAAGAAAGAGAAAATACCTTGAAGGTCAAAGAGATTCTGAGTGGATTGTCAATTGATTTATCTTACACCATTCCTCTCCAGGGATGGTTTTCCAAGGCACTGGGAGAGCTCTTCTTTACCTGACTCTCTTCATCATGGCGTCCTTGTGAAAAAAATAGAACGCAATGAGAATGGTGATGTACACAATAGAACATTGCCAAAAGATGAGACTTGAAATTTAAGTTTTGATTTATTTTGACAGCTCTTTTTGGGGGTGGGGGTGGGATAGAGGAGAAGTGCTCTGTGGTTGCCACCGGTATTTTCTAAACAATCCCAGTCTGAAAGCCTCTTGTTTGTGACTGAACGTTATTTAATATTCACTATACACCTTGTGCAAACAATATGCAAGGCAGAGCCCTTGCTCTTTTGCAACTCCGAGAGAGAATTCAGGGAGGAAAGGAGAAGATAGGATCTACATTATGTAAATAAAATGATCTCTAATGAAAACATTTGCCTTGAGGCATGAACAAGTGTTCTAACTTCCAATTTTGTGATGCAGCAATCAATCGCTTTCAGCCTTAAAACCCACTGGATTGACAGCCTTGCAAAGGCTTCTGGATTTAGAATTTAAGAATTCCTCTCTCCTTTCCTCGGCCCCACAGGATGAGTTGCAAGCAGTAGCTGTAAGCCCCTCCACAAAAGCTGTGGATAAACTGTGTGGAGTCCAGACATAAGAGAGGCCCTTCCTAATATGTCCAGACTTCCTTTTATTTATTTATTTATTTTATTTTTATTATTATTATTATTTTAATCAGAAAGGGGAATGGGAGCCTTTTTTTCTTCAGACCCTGCTGGTCAAATATTGCTTATGTGTAGACCTTGTCAACACCTTTGGGAATTATCATTATTATCAGTCATGATGTTAATGGGCTGTCATTGTTGGCTGAAGTTGACTTATTCTAGATGCTTTGTTTACTCAGCTAACAAAAAGGCAGCTTGGAATTAAAAAAGGAAACGTGCCAAGCAATTAATCCATAACTTGGTGGGAATGCTTTGGGGATTTTCTAACATTTCTTTTATTGAATTTTTGTTTAAGTGCAGTATCCTTTTTTCCTCTGAAATTTCATTCTGGAGTTTTTTATTACATGCCATTTCTGCAGGAGGCACATTGAGCCATTGGGACCTTCTGGGTAAATACCACGTGTTTTAAAATATTTATCAATAATGAGGCTACTTGCTCACACGTTCCCTGAAAATGCCAGGCTGCGGAGCCAATTCATTGCACAGGTTTAAAAAGATATCAAAATGTTCATGCCATAAATATTTGCATTACAAGGCACTTTTCTTTCGAACGCATATCAAAACAACCACCATCAAAATCATAATAGTAACAAGAAGTGGAAGAAAAGGAAACTTGTAGTCAGAAGGATGAAATATTGTTAAATCTATACAGGTATTGAAATTCTTTAAATATCAGGAGTTTAACAGACAGTTTGCAGATCTCTGTATGCATCGTAGTAGAAGTTGTCTATTAAACTTCCACCTTAGGTAGACTTTAAATTTTCTTAAAAGGATGCTAATTCTATTGTATGGCTTGGTTGACTGATTGCCAGAAAACATGAATCCATCATTAACTGGCTGCAAGCATACACAAAATCTCATTGCATGATTTTTCCAGAGACTATTACCTCCAACTCTTTGCTGCCTAAGAGTCATATCAAAAGCTTCACATGAAAAATAATCTTTATCATGGATTTCTTAGAGACTATGTATACTACCCATTACCCATTGGATAATCATTTACCCTTAGTTCAAACCAAACCATTAGAAAAATCCTCTACTTGGGTTGCATTGATTTGCATTCTAAAATGGCTTTTATTAAATTTTGCTTTGGCATAACGCCAAAGTTTGCTTTGAGGGTACAGATAGAATCGTCAGAGAAACAATGGAACAATGGAACAATAGAATAAATCTCACGCTGTATTTATTGAATGTATTGAGGTTGGTGTTGAAAAAGTTACCTTCCCATATCAGTGTTCTCGTCCATATTTCAGAAATGCTGTACTTCTGATCAACAGCTTTTTTGTTTTATTTAGCATCTTCCTCTGAGGGTTTTGTTTTGTTTTGTTTTAAGCTTCAGAACACTTTGTCTCTTAAAAAGGATCGTCTTTATTTTCGTAACTGATGATTTCTGAATGTCAGGGTGCTTAGAATCCCCCAATGTGGGTCAATTCTCACAAATGCAAAAATTGCATGACAAATATGTCATGTATTTTGGACAATAACCCTCACCCTTGGTTTATTTTATTTTCAGATTCTTTCTTTGCTCTGATATTCCTATTAATTTACATTTGAATTTTGATAAGCCATGTTATTTGGGTATTCTTAGCCATCTTTAATCAATTTTAGAGGCAAGATAAACAATAAATCAATCTGTAGCATTGATCCTATTGTTAGTCCAAACCAGACACACTGGAAACCCAATGATTCAGTAAAACAGAGAAGAAAATAAATGTTCAAGACTCAGAAAACAAGGCTATCATATGCACCTAAAGGACTGCCATCACCTGTCCCTTAGTGTGGTCTGAAGGCTTAACAGGTGGGGACCCTGAACCTCTGGGCTCTTCCCCTGTGGTCGGTGTCTCAGAGACCACTGCATTCCAAGTGCATGTCCTCGGAGAGCAAGAAGAAGAACGAGGCAGTATCCTGAATGTCTGCATTTACTTACTTAAACCCTAATCTTGCATATGTAATTTATGCTGCTTATTTGTTCTTTCAGAACTAAATCAAACTAAAGCCACCTGTAATGGTTAATTTGAATTGTCAACTTGATCAGATTAAGAGATGCCAAGCATTGAGAGGATTATGGGTGTGTTGATGAGAGTGTGTCTAGGAATGACTGGCATGTGGGGTAGCAAACTGAAATGGAGACCCTCCCTAAGCATGAGCAGCACCAACCAACAGGATGATGGCTTGGGTAGAATAAAATTTGGAAGAACAAGGAAGTAGCAGGATTTTTGTGCAAGCTGGATTCTTCTTGAAGGGGTTCTTGATTGATGCTGCCATGGCCTGAGGATATTGCTTCTTCACTCCTCCAAAGCAGAAGCTCTAGAAGCCTTTGGTCTCAGACTAGAGTAGCACAGTTGATCCCTCTTGTTCTGGCACTTAAGCCTCTTGGATTGTGCAACTACTGGTTCTTCCAGCTCTCCAGCCTGCAGATGGCCACTGTGGACTATCCAGCTTCTGGTCACTAAATCCAACCTAGTAAGTCCCCCTTTTATAATTATACTTCCCATTGACTCTATTCCTCTAGAAAACACTGACTAATATACCATTCTTTTTTGCTCTCAGTTCCTGCAGCATAAATGATCAGTGTCCCACTCACACCCCTTTGCCACTCACCATCCTGATTCACACCACACCATCGTACTGAGCACCTGCAACTCTGCTATGGGATTTCTTGAAAATTACACTGGAGGCTGGCAGAGCTGCCTGGCCCTAGAGACAACTGTCCGTCAAAGATGAACAGAGATTTGAAGCATAAAATAAAATTTCAGCTTCCTCGGCCCTTGAATGAGAAAGCTCTGCTGCAAGGTCAAGCTCCTGAATGGGACAGAGCTCCAGTGGCCCATCCCTTAACCTACTCATGAGCTCATATTGACCTCCTTGTATTTCTCATCTCACTTCTTCACTCTTCTAGAAATGGCCAGCATTGCCTCCTAATTAAACTACTTACATAATAATTCTTGTCTCACGGTTCTCTTTGGGGAACTCTAAGATTAAATTCCATACTCTAAATGGGAAATGGCATCAACCAATCATTAAGACTTTACTGAGTACCTTCTTCCCTTCATTCATTTAACAAGATTTTTTGGACACAACACAAGTTTTGGATGAGGAATTGGGTTATTCACTGCCATTAAGAAAAACTTGAACAAAGTACATATATAAAGGCATAAATTGGTGTGAACATACTTTATGTACAGAGATATGAAAAATTGTGCTCTATATGTGTAATAAGAATTGTAATGCATTCCACTGCTATCATGTCTTTAAAAATAAAATAGAATCAAGAAAATATTTTAAAAAAAACCTTGATCCCTGCCTTCTGAAGTATAATTCTAGCAAAAAAGGATGTTCTGATCTTAGCACATTCCTATTGCAGAAAAGGTGAAGGTCCTGAAAAATAGCACATTGAATCTCTTACTCACTATCTAGCCTGGCTTAAGAAACTCCCATAAACAGTGTTGGCCCAACAAAATACCTTATTTGTTTCAGCAAGGAACAACCATTTCTGATTGCTCCCCAGTCTTCAGGAAATAGGAGTTAAAAGATGTTGAGATTCATCACTGCCTTTCACTTCCTGATCAAGGGCCTGTTCACCTCTCTCCTGCCTCCCCTTAATATCTTCTCTCCCACAGAGAACTTTCAGGAGCTCCCTCGACCGACCTTATTTAAACCCAGACTATCAGCCCAATATTCAAGACCCTCTGCAACTCAATTTCCTCTACTTTGCCAGTCTTGTCTTGTCTCTTACTGTTTTCCATATAAATTCTCTCGTCTGTTTATCCTGATTCATTTGGAAACCCTTATAGGACATGACTTGCTAAACCCCATTCCTTTATTCTAAATTGCTGTACATTCCATTTCCTCCATTAAGACCCAGCTCAAAATTACCACCTTACAGAGTTTATTCTGAAAAATTTCACCCTCACCATCTTAGTCTATTTGTGCTGCTATAATAAAATACCATAGATGGAATAATTTGTAAATAACAGAAAATTATTTCTCAGGATTCTGGAGGCCTGTAAGTCCAAGACCAAGGTGCCTATATGATTAGTGTCTGGTGAGAGCTGCTTCCTCATTCCAAGACAGTACCTTTTGCTGCATCTTCCAGAAGACAGGAACACTGCGTCTTCTTATGACAGAAAGTGGAAGGACAAGAGGCAGAGAGCTCCCTTCAACCTCTAATGCTTTTATAAGGATGCTAATCCCATTCATGGGGTTGGAGCCCTTACAGCTTAGTCACCCTTCAGAAGCCACAAGGTTTACTACTGTTGCACTAAGGGTTAAGTTTCAGCAAGAATTTTGGAGGGAACACCATCATTCAAATCACGACTAAAGACTTGTCTTGCTATTACTTCAGTCTGGTTGAATTGAACC